AGAGCGAACAGTCTTTTTTTTCAAGTAGGTAGAAAATCTTAAGTACTTTCTCAAAACAACAAAACTTTTTCACAAACACTTTCAAAACAGTTTTCAAAAAAACAACTTTGTCACACTCTTGAGGACAGATACAAGGGTTACCACGAAGTTAAACAAAAACTTTTCAAAACACACACAAGCAATTTCAAAATGAACAAGTACCTAAGATCCCGTGGAAAACCACGGATAGAAAGGGTACTAACACCTTCCCTTTCTATAATCTACCCCCCGTACTCCGAAACATCTCGAAAAAAAGGTTTTTTCTGTTCTTTTTCCTTTCCTTTGTTGGATGAAATAAAAGTCGGTGGCGACTCTTGCTTACCTCAACATTTGTGAACAAAAAACGCAAACTAGTATTAATAGTCGGTTCTGCCACCGTATCACAATATGCAATGCCGAGTTTGGTACAATCAATGGAATACCTAAGACTTCCAATAATGCTGGCATATTCTGTTCGTCCAACACTTTTACTAGTGTTCTTAAACAGCTTCGCGCTTGGACGTATGGTGTGCTTACAGGTTTACTGTCAAAGTAATTATATTTCTTTAACATCTTTTCCATATAGTGTGATTGATCCAAAGAAATTCCTTACTCGGATCTCGTGATCTTGATACCAATAATCACACTCGCTTCTCCGAGGTCTTTCATATCAAAGTTATTGCAGAATAATGATTTCATTTCTTTAACGTCCTGAATATTTGATCCAAATATGAGTAGATCGTCTACATATAGACATATGATAGTGCAAATGCGATTCTCAAATTTGTAATAAAAACATTTGTCATTTTCATTCACTTTGTATCCATTCGATATCATTAAGTTGTCAAACTTTTCATGCCATTGCTTTGGAGCTTATTTTATCCCATACAAAGACTTATCTAACTTACATACCTTGTTTTCTTGTCCATGGGGTCACAAACCCTTCTGGTTGTTCCATATAGATTTCTTCTTCTAATTCACCATTTTAAAAATTTGTTTTAACATCCATTAAGTGTACTATTAAGTTATAAATAGAAGTTATTGAGACAAGTACCATAATGGATGTAATTCTAGTGACTGGTGAGAAGTTATCGAAGAAATCTATATTTTTTCTTTTTTCCTAAAACCTTTGGCTACAAGGCAAGCCTTGTACTTATCAATGGCTTCACCAGGTTTTAGTTTCTTTTTCCAAAACCCATTTATAATTGATTAGTTTGCAATCAGGAGGCAAGTCTACTAAGTGTCAGGTCTTGTTAGATTCTAGAGATTTTATCTCATTAGTAATAGCTATTTGCCATAAATATGCATCCAGAGATAACGAGGCTTCTTGAAGATTTATTGGATCTTCATATACATTATGAGCCGCATAATCGGACCCATAATATTTAGCAACTCTTACCCTTTTACTCCTTCGAAGTTCAGTTTCTACTTCATTGTTGCTTTCAGTGTTTCTTATCACAGGAATGCGATTCGATTTAGTGCCCCCACTATTTCTCGATTTGAAAGGAAATTCATCTTCATAGAATTCAACATCATTTTATTTTATGATCAATTTAGCATTTAGGTCTTAAAACCTATATGCCTTATTGTTTGCTGCATACTCAATGAATACACATTAATAGGCTCTACTAGCGAGCTTAACTCGCTTCAGATCCGTAATTCTGACATAAGTCAAATAGCCCCAAGTTCTTAAATAAGACAAGTTTGGTTGTCTTTTCTTTAATATATCATAAGGTGAGATCTTACTTTTTACTTGGAAACTCGATTCAGGATATAACAAACAATCAATAAAATTCCCCCACCAGTGAGGTACATCACTAGAATTCAACATAATTGCAACAACAAGTTCAATAAGAGTTTTATTATTTCTTTCTACTTTACCATTCATTTCAAGAAAGTACGATTCATTTGTTTCATGTATAATTCCATGTTGTTTATAAAAATCATTAAACAAACTAGAATCATACAATTACGCTATCACTACAAATTCTTACTAAACCATTTTCAAAGCCGATACAAAGTTTTTAAACATAGCAATTTCATTCACAAAAGTATCATTCTTCGTAATGGTGTACAAATTTACCCCATAGGCTAACTAAACCCATGCCTTATTTAAAAGAAAACTAGAAACAAGATTCTTCTAATCTCAGGAAGATGCATGACGTCCTTCCAAGATTAAAGTCTTTCTGGAGATGAAATTCAACTCCATGTCTATAATTCCAGCAACATTAGTGGTGTGGACATCTCCCAACAACACTTTCTTATCTTTAGTATTCGTGTATATTTTAAACACAACACAATCATATCATACACGACGAAAGACACCAATTTCTATCCACCAACCATCAAATCCATTAACCATGTCGATTTCAATGACCATAGCAATAAATTGCCCATTAGTCAGGATGACCTGTGCACTAGGGGAAGCACCAGGTTCTAGCCTACTTCTACATTTCTTAATCATATGACTTGATTTCCCATAGTTAAAACAAAGTGAAACCAACATCATTTCTTTAAGGTGGTGGTTGTTGCCTAGTTGGAGCAATTGGGGGTCATAGAAGGGTTCTCATTCTTAGTTTGGTTCACAGTATTGAAGTTCTGATTCTTTAATTATTTGCCATATGGCTTCAAAACCACACCAAATTTCTTTTTGTTGTTTAAAACAACCAAGACTTTTCTTTTTAATCGTGTTTCTGATATTCTTCTTTAATTTAAGGCGAATGATCAAACTATCAATTAAAAAAATTCTTTTGTTTTATGACAAAACAAAATTTTCTAACTAGGGGCCAATTTGTCAATAGTAAAAGCAATTTGAAATTGTTCATCTAAACACATACCTTTTGTGATGATCTTATAAGCAATCTTTTGAAGTTCGTAACATTGAACCTCCATTGATTTTTCATCTTTTCCATTTGATACTTGAAGTAGCGGCTAACAACATACTTTTTCTGCTATAACTTCTACGTCATACTTCTTTCCGAGTCTCACAATCTTGTTTTGCAGTATCACATCAACTGTAATTATCATACAAATCATCTGCGAGTCTATTCAAAATATGATTTTGTAGATATTTTCATTCTCTTTCCATAAGGTGATTTCTTTCCTACGCTGTAACTATTTTGCTTTAATCTATGCAGTAAATTCAACTTTAACACTATTAAGTGTTCCTTCTGAATCTCCAGATTTATTACCGTTAGTTTGTTCGATTGATCCAGAAGGAGCAACAGAATACCATCGATCAGAATGTCAGTAACTTTTTGTCAATGTTAAGAACTTCATCTTTTGTTGCCAACATTTGAAGTGACTTCCCTCAAACATGAACGTTTTGTCAAAGACAATATCCACAAAAGTACCAGTAATTTCTTCGATAGCCATGACAGTTTGAAACGTCATAAAATTGTTGTTTTTGGATTTTGAAATATTTGCCACCGAAGAAATTATCGGGTTGAGTCGCGGACTAGGTCGCTCTCATTAAGACGTTTCGCGGTATTGCTCAAAATTATGCAAAGCAGTCGAACTACCACGACACTTCTAGGATAAAACACCCCAGTTCTATATTGTACGATTACTACTTGCACGGTAGATAATCGATCTAGAAATACACCCTCTAATGGTACAGACCATTCAAATATGGTATCAATACCACTCGTAGTATCTAGTACAAACACTCGTCGTAATAATTTCTCAATCAAAGAGAAACTCAAATAATTCTCCAAAGAGAATTTAATTATGGTCATTTTATCACTCATAATAATTTCTCCAACAAAGAGAAATTCAAATAATTCTCCAAAGAGAATCCAAAAATTAATACTTGAAAATTTCTCAACTCAAATGAGGAAAAATTAACATAATTCTCTAAGGAGAATTCAAGAAAGTATTCTAAAAATTCAACGAGTAGAAAGAAAAGGGAAGAAGTTGGTGCTTCGACAATTCGAGAGACGCAGAGTAATGAGAGTGAGAAAGGAAGAACTAATAGAATATCTTTTTTATGTGTTTTGAAATAAAACATATGCACTCTTTATATAGTGAAGTAAACTAATTAATATTTCTCACATAAATAATATAGGATTAAATGATTTTTTCAACCAAAAAAAAATTTTAACAATATAAAATTTAAAAAAAATTTAAATTCAACTTATTAAAAAATAGACATGTACCGACACATGCAAACAATTAAACTCAATCACTTTATAATAATAATAAAACTAAACCGTCAATACTGAATCAGCACCCAAAAAATCTGTAATTATTTATACCCATTGAATAGTACTATAGTAAACTAGTTTAATTTATAAAAGATTATTTATCAATGAATTTACATTGTCCACTCAACCCTCCACTAATGGAGCGTTTCACTTCTTGTGGTTGGAATCAGAAGAAGCCAAAGAAATGAAAGCTGCAGCCAAAGGGGTCTCTTATTCTGAAATAGAAATAGAACCATACAACTTTACACTCAATAAGGTAACACTAACCTAAATAAGTATTTGGTTATAAAAAAAAAAAACCTAAATAAGTTTAACATTGGAAAGAAAAAGACGAAAGACATTTTATTTGTACATTGTTTTGGTTCTCTAGCCTCACTAGTACTAGTAGCTTCAACACACCTAGTTAATGTTCCATACCCCACCATTAATAAAAATAACATTAAGACAATTATGTACTATTGATTTCTTTCTGTTTAAGTAAAGCTTAAAATTTTGATCATGAGACTACAATAATATGAAAAATAACAAACATAAGGACGATGAATAAATATTATAAAAAAGAAAATACAACGTTGATAGCAAAGATTATGAAATACAGATATTTCAAAAAAGATTCTGACATTGATACGACGATATTGATAATAATTTAAAAAATTAAATTAAACATAATCAACAGTGTCGATGCAGGTGTCTAACACGGAATCAAACACGAACACAAATGTGTCATTTTAATAATATTATTATTAAAATGCATGGTGTTATGTCTAGAAATAGAGTCTAGAGCAGTTGTTTAACAATAGCAGCTGTTATGATAGCTGCATCATACATAGCAGCATTCTCCTGAGTGAGTGGTGAATTTCCATTGAATCCATTCTCACAAGAAGTAGCTTGCATTGCAGCATCATTTGCACCCTCTTGAGCAAATTTAGGATCTCCATGTTTCAAAGCTGCAATAGACTTTGGCATATCAGCTACCAAAATTGTACTGTATCTATCAGCACAAGAATTCAAAGCTTCACTTTGAGCAGGCTCTTGATTCACCTTAACCAAATCAGTGACTTTGGTTAAGACAGTTTTTGCTGCTCCAACCATAGTGTTCAACGAGATAACTACAAGATCTGGTAGATCTGCGTCGGAGCTCCGTGGATCGGATTCGAGGTACTTAATGCAAGTTGCATATTTTGGAGTTTGTTTGCAAGTTTGTTCTATCAGATTGGCATTGTTGTTTTGGGGATTGATAGCTGTGCATTGAGTTGCAGCAATAGTGCACAACATGATAGATAATGCTAAGGGATTCATCTTTGTCATGTTTTTTGGAATGGGAAGAGAAAATTGATATGAAAATTATGCAAATCATAATGTGCTTATATATTGTGGCGTGACATGATGATGCAACGAATTACGTTGGATATTTTTATGAATCATTGGTAGTGTAATGAGTAGATAGATGGTAAGGTAAGGTTACTAAAATTTAATCATGATTACAAATTATTACAAGTGATTAGTTTTTGCATAAGATTACATGGTAAGATACTACTAAAGTTGACTTTAAAATTATGATACATTTAATACAAAAACGTTTTTTAAGGTATGGTTTTAAAAATTAAATCTGACGTAACATAATATTTTTATTTTATGAAAATAGTCCTTCATTAGTAATAGTTCTAAATTATTTCATTATGCTCTCTTATTGCTAACCTCATCATATCTTTACCTTAAATGTTAAAAACATCAAGTTTATGTTTAGAGTGTAGCACATACTTCATCTTTCTTAAGAATTGATGTTGTATTATCTTTAACATGTGCAATATTAAAACCGCTTTTATGTAAAATCAATTTTGATTAAACTTTTTTTTTTCAATTCATGACATTTTTAGAAATAAGTAACATTGGTAAAGGATTGCAATAAGCCGTTTGTATTTTAAATTCAAAAATAGAGAACGCTTCATGAAATGTTACTCATGAATGTTTATGTAAATTGCTTTTTGTTCACGTGATTTTCAAATGGAAAGTTATAGAGGAAATGTAATATTGGTGTATGTAATAGTTGCCATAAGGAAATACTTTTCAAAGACACTGTTAGTATGAATATGATTTGGAATAAAATCAATTTTTAAATACACACAACAAGTAGTTTGTGAAGAAATAGAAGGGAAATTAGAGTGGACTTTGAACTTTCTTTTTTTATAAATTTGTCTAACTAAGTTTTAATATGAGATATAATGTGATTTATATAGGATCACAACATAAAATATTAAGAGTTTACAACAATAACTATTTTTAGTTTCCTAGAGAAATAAACTTCTCACTGTCCAAGGGAATCTATCTTTTACATTACCCAAGACAAATTTGAATTTAACCAACAAAACTCCTCCATAAATTCAAATATTCCTTCGATCCATCATGCCTAGCATTTTCTTCCCTCTGTCGAATAGCTCATTCGATAGTGGTTTTGTGAGAATGTCTGTTGCTTGATCATTGCTTGTAACATGCTTCAGTTCGATGCTTCCATCCTTCACATGTCCTCGAATAAAATGAAATTGAACATCAATGTGCTTGCTTCGTTCATGGTTGACTGGATTCTTCGCCAGTTCGATTGCAGATTTGTTGTCAACTTGAATTATTGTCGCATCTTCCTGTTCTGATTCCATCTTGCTCAGCAGTCTTCTCAGCCATATTGCATGGCATACGCACCAAGATGTTGCCACATACGCTGCTTCACAGGTCGAAAGAGTTACTATGGGTTACTTCCTTGACAGCCAGGTGAAAGTAGTGTTTCCTATGAAAAACACATATTCTGAAGTGCTCTTTCGATCATCAATGTCACCACACCAATCGCTGTCAGAGTAGCCAGTCAACTTGTATTCTTCTGCTTTCGAATATAATATTCCAAGTGACACAGTTTCTTGGACATATCGAAGGATTCTCTTCAGAGCTTTCCAGTGTACAACAACTGGTTCTTCCATGAAACGACTCACAATTTCAACACTCAACAAAAGATCTGGCCTTGTGCATGTGAGGTATCGAAGACTTCCCACCAAGTTTCGAAATTTGTTTGCTTCGACTCGCTCTCCCCCATCAAATTTCGAAAGTTTTGCTCCTGGCTCCATTGGTGTCGAAATGGGATTGCAGTTATCCATCTTAAATCTTTTCAGGATATCTTTTGCATATTTTTCTTGTGAGATGAATATTCCTATTTCTTCTTGTTGAACCTCAAGACCAAGAAAGTATTTCATCAGGCCTAAGTCAGTCATCTCAAATTCTTGTGTCATTGTTCCTTTGAACTCTTCGATCATCTGATTGTTGTTTCCCAAGAAAATTAAATCATCAACATAGAGAGCAACAAGCAATATTTGCTGAAATCCATTTTCTTTGAAGTATGTGTCAATTCGAGTATTCCATGTGTGGTACGGTGGCAGAACCAGACTGTTTTAGGAAAATGCTGGTTTGCATTTTGCGTTTGTGTTTGCAAAATGTTGCGGTAAGCAAGAGTCACCACTGACTTTTATTTTATCTAACTGGAAAGGAAAAAAGCACAGAAAAATTCCTTTTTCGAGATATTCTGAGTACGGGGGGTAGATTATAGAAAGGGAAGGTATTAGCACCCTTTCTATCTGTGGTTTTCCACGGGCTCTTAGGTACTTGCTCATCATTTAAAAATTGCTTCCATGCTTGTGTGTTTTGAAAAGTTTTGTTTTACTTCATTTTAACCCTTGCTTCTGTCTTCAAGAGTGTTACGAAGTGTTTTTGAAAACTTTGTTTGAAAAGTGTGTAAGTGTGGAAAAGTTTATCTTGAGCAAGTACCTAACAGTATCTACCTACTCGAAAAAAGAATGTTTCTATTCTTGTTTCCTTTAGACAACGCTATCCCACTATTAAAGAGTAGGTAGCACCGTCGTTGGAGTTGTAAGGATCAATTCGAAAGGGACGTACGATCACTAAAGCAATGTTAGGATGTTTTAGTAATAACCTTAATGTCTTAAGATCATATTCGAGGCAACATTTCTGAGGCAACCTTTCCGAGGCAACATTTCCGAACGGGACATTCGATCTTTGTTTAGATAAGAGGGAAACCACTAAGACACCCTATACTTAATGATCATTTACCGAAGGCAACCGAAGTGAGAGTATACCCTAGGAGTGCACATGTGTGAGTGATTTGATTTCAAGTTATTATCTTTGCACATTTAGAGTTTGCTAACCGTTTTAAATTTAACATACATTCTTGTCATGCCATCCTATTATCATACATCTAACAGTTAATATTTGAGAAAATTAAAATGCGAGAAATAAAACTACGCTATTACAAGACTTCGGGGGAAGGGGATTAATTACATAGCCAAAAACCCGTAAAACGATAAATAAACGAAAAATCCTAATTAAACTATTACATACCATGAGCAGTTACATTAATATCGTAAAAATAAATAAGCGCGCGATGAATCGAGAACGAGAGAAAATTAGGGTTTTGACCCCGTCTAAACCTAATTAAAAGAAAAATCATTCTTTGTTGTTTTTGATTATTTTTTTGAGAACATAATGTTTTAATTAAATAAGTACAACCCTAATTACTAATTAGTTTAAATTAAGAAAAATAATTAATTTTGACCTATTTTTATATTTTGGTTATTTTAAGAAAAGAAAATAAAAATTAAATCAACCAAACCCTAATTTTCTAATTTATTTTAAATTATTTACAAAAGGTTAGAATTATCCTAGAATTAAATTAAACTAATTAAATTAATTTTGACAAAATATATAAAAAAAACCTAAATTCTAATTTGGTGAAAATTGATTTTTTATGAGTTTTTTATAAAAAGAATAATTAAATTTGTGTGAGAAAGTAATTTAAACAAAATTAAATAAATACAAGAAAATATATAAAAGAAAAGAGAGAATTAGGCATGTTATCAAAGCAAAAAGGGGGGTGTCCATAGCATATCTGAGCCCAACGGCCTTGGCCCACGTTTGACTTCTCATGATCCAATGCATTGGCTTGAGTGATGTTCATGGTAGACCTCCATCATGGAGCCTTGGATCTAGCGTGTGGGCAATCTGATGGTTGAAAGATGATGGAGTATGGTAATCTCCTTGCCTGTATACGCGCCTAATCATACAAGAAATAAAACTATGAAATAATATGGGGGACCTGGGATTCGAACCCAGGCCCTTTGGCTTTTCCACATGCCTCCTGACCAACTGAACCAGCGCATTTTGTTGTATATGGAATATCAAATAAACATTATATTGGAAACAAGTGATATATTAAACGCGCGAATTTTTGAATGGGCCAGTCAGGCCACGCCACACCATCATCTTCTCCAACATCCGTCGTCTTAGGTAAAACGACTTTTACCTACAGACGTTTTTTGTAGGTACAGCCCCTGCATATTTCCAGAATCTCATACAAGCATGATAAATGAAAACTAATGTTACAGGCCAGTTTGTTTTGGCCTTGTGAACACCATGGTACCCCTCTTTTGGGCCTATTTTACCTGCATGAGAAAACCCTAAAACGAACAAAGAAAACCTAACAATGGTGGAACTCTGTATGGTTAGCAAAAATGCAATTAATTATTACAATTAGCTCGCAAAAGTCTCAAAGATTCAGAATATATCCATAACATATGCTAACAATGCCAAATTCATGAGATTCAATTTCAAAAAGTAAGGATGTCGTGAGGCACAAACAGTGTGTTTCTGGGCACGAAAATGCCTGTTGATGATTGGGATAGACTCCTTGAATACTCAGCAAGCGAATGAGATAGTTGGGAAGGCTTGAGATATCTTGGAACTATGAAATCAGATTGCCACTTTTCTTGATTTTTTGAAAGTTCTCCTTCCCTTTTCACGCCTCTCACTCTTGTGCTTTTGGTCTGCAAATGTTCTATATGTATCCTTGAATGGAAATGGGTTACAAATTTGCTCCAAATCTTTTTCAATTAAGGTGATTGAATCATGATTTGATTCTTATTCAAATCTTCCTAAATCAAGCATAACTCAATCTTTTTGTGTACAAACAAGCCTTTCACGATTTGATCTCATTGCCAGCTATTCATGGACCTGAAATATGCACAATCTCAAGGTTTAAATGATTTAGATATTTTCATGATTTTATTTTGATTTAATTTTATTTAAATGAAATAAAAATCAATATAAATGACAAAAATAAAATAAAAGCAAGTGGGAAGGATAATGGGTCGTGGACCATGTTACAAATTCAATGCAAACACAAAAAGTTGGGCCCATTTGACAAAAATTACAATTTTGGCCACTTTTGACTTTTGGCAATTTTGCAAAAAGGGTCA